AATCCAGCAGCTGCTAGATGATCCAAAGAAGAATAACATAAGACTGATCTGAGTCAATGAAGAAACAGGAGAGAGTGCAGATGACATTAAAAAAAAAAAGAACTGTTCACACAAGTGATGGCAGAATACTTGCCAAGTAGGGGAAAAGAACTTGACATACAGACAAGTGAAGCATATAGGACTCCAACTAGCCTTGATGAAAAAAAATCTACACATAGTCATGTAATTGTTAAGATTCCAGAAAAAAATCAACAGAAGAACAAAGTTCTACAAGCAGTTAGAGAAAAGAAACAAATCACATACAAAGGAAAGTCCATCAGAATCACAGCGGAATTCTCAATGCAAACCCTCGACGCAAGAAGAGCTTGGGAGTAATGTATTTCAAGCCCTAAAAGAAAACACCCTCCAAACCAGATTGATGTACCCTGCAAAACTATTTTTCAAAATTGATGGAGAAATAAGATACTTTCATGACAAAAAGCCCCTTAGGAACTTCATGAATACCAAACCAGCATTTCAAAAAAATTTTGGACAATATCCTAGGAACAGACAGTGAGGATCGCAACCCCAGGAAGCCCAGCAGAATGAATCCGTCAGGCTCAACAAGAAATTAAATACAAACGGGGAGAATCCAACAAAAAGAAAAAGTCATGACAATGATAAGTCAATATCTATGAGTTATAACCATCAACGTTAATGGTCTCAATTCACCAATTAAAAGAAATAGACTGGCAGAATGGGTCACAAAAGCAAGATCCAACAATATGCTGCATACAAGAAACATATTTAATTCAAAAAGAAACTCACAGTCTGAAAGTTAAAGGGTGGAAAACAAAACTCCATGTGACAGGAACCCAAAAAGAAAAAGCAGGAGTAGCTATCCTCTTTGCAGATCAAGTGGATTTCAAACCAAAATCTGAAACACTCTCGTCCCAAGAATTTCAGATAAGGGATACTCAACTTGTATGTACAAATTTATTGTGAATATGTGTTTTCATTCCTCTCAAGTAAAAACTTAAGAACAGGACTGTTGGTTCTTAGCAGTAATACAAGAAATTTCTATATTGTTTTCCAAAATGGTTTTATCATTTTACATTCACATTAGCAGTATTCGAAAGTTCTAACTGGTTCACACCTAAGCTGACATTTGTTCTTTTAAAACGTTTAACTTCATCTCCCTAATGAGTGTATAATTCAGTCTTGTTATTGTACTGATTACTCTTTTTCTGATTCTAGTGTTGCACATCTTTCCTTGTGCTGTACTGGCTATTTCTCATCTTCTTGTGTCTACTTTTTAATTGGATTGTCTATTAATGAGCTGTAAGAGTTCTTTATATAGTCTGGTTCTAGGTTATATGCATTATACATAAGGTCTGTTTAAGGACTACTTTTCATTTTCTTAACGTTATCATCTAAAGTTTTAAATTTTGATAGAATCTCATTTATCAATTTTTTTCTTTTATACGTCATGTTTATTATATCCTAGGAAATTCTTGCTTACCCTAAATTCATGAACATTTTCCCTTATAATTTCTTCTTAAAGTTTTATAGTTATAGTCTTTGATATTTAGGTTCATAGATCCTTTCAAGTTATTTTTATGTATGGAAATAAAGGGTTGAAATTAATTTTTTATATATGGATACCAGGTGTTCTAGTGCCATTTGCTGAAAACGCTACCTTTTCCTCTGCTCTTGAATTGAGTTTATGTTCTATAAAATGTTAATGTTAAATAATGTTTCAAAACTCAGTGGACCATATATGTGTGGTTCTATTTCTAGATTCTCTTTTATTCCAGTGATCTATGTCTTTCCATACACCAACACTGCCTTGATTACTGTAGCTTTAGAGGAAGTCTTAAAATTAGGTACTAAATGTCTTCCAACACTGTTTTTTTTTTCTTTTTTTTAAATACTTTTCTAGGTCCTCTGTACTCCTACATAACTTAAATTTCAATACCCAATTCTTCATTTATAGCAAGTATACATAGACCTGAATTTTTATATATACCTTGTGTTTTCTAATCCTGCTGAATTCAAATACAAGTTCCAGGGGCTCCTAGACATTTCTCAGTATTTTCTCTGTAGATGATCATTTCATCTACATATAAAGATTTTACTTCTACCTTGCCAATCCTATGCTATTTGTTTATTATTTTTTTAATTTATTTTTTTATTTTTTTATTTTTATTGCCAGACTACTTTGGTTTCGGCCTATGTTTCAAAGTTTAATGGATAGATGAAGAGTAGGCATATCTGCCCTTGTTCACCACCTTAGGGAGAAAGCATTGTATCTTCTCCATTCATATAAGGCGTTTTTGCTGGAAATATGGAGTATATGTCTTTGATCTATTGAGAAGGTTCTGTTCTACTTCTAGTCTCCTGATAGCTTTTACCATGAACAGCTGTAGAATTTAATTCAACACTTTTTCTCCAACTACTGACAGGATCATATGGCTTTTTCCTTTCCTCTGTTAAAATGATGACTTTCGGGGGTGGATCTTCTAATGCTGAACCAACCCTACCATCCCTATAATAAAACCACTTTCTACATACTGCTAGATCTGACTTCTAATAGTTTGTTTTAATAAACAAATTTCTATCTATGTTCATACCTTTTTCTTCTATTATCTTTATCCAGTTTTAGGATTAGCACAATGTTGATTTCCTAAAATGAGG